AAGTAAAATGTGACGAAATAAACATCCGATTTTGCAATTTTGGTAAAATGATTCATGTCCGACCTTTCTGATTGACTCGATCCACTTCTAATTCCGCGGTTGGAAAAAAAAAAAACATGTCCCAAAAGTTCGCATCTCATCCCAGGAAATTCGGCTACATTCGAAGACTTGCACAACATTTTTCTTCGAGACGTCAGCATTTTTTGCCAGGGGAGAAAGAAAGTTCAATAATAAAATAATACCAGGCCAAAAGTCCGCAGTATCTGAGAGTGTGAGATTTTTATTCAAATATTTATTTTCTATTTTTATTTTTCAAAATATTGGAGACACACGCAATAACATAATAGTCACTCTATGAAAATGGAACGGACCTCGTCAATAAAAATTTAGTTTACCGTTTAGTAACGTGATGTATCGATCAAAGCCCGCCGAGTGTGGCAGTGAGAGGAGGGAAGAACGTAATAAGCCGAAGCGAGACATGCATGGTGCAAGCGGTTAATCCTGCGACGTTGATACCCCATGCAATGAACATACATACACATTACGGCCTGATCTGCTGGGCGTAATTATTAATACGGCAGGTCATTTGGTCGGGGCGGAAAACATGTTTTGGACACATCGGACAACTCCACGCTTGGTTGCCAGCGCATCTGAAAAAATATCGTTCACTGGCAAAAGAACACATTGGATCTAGAGTCCAGACTCTTAAAAACATTGACAAGAAAAAATACTCTTGATTCAATCGGATTTTTGCTTAAATCAAGAACCAAGCCTCTTAATTTGAGCGGATTTCCTTTTGATTTAAACTTAAATCTGATTTGAATCAAGAGTCAATTTTCTTGTCAATGTTTTCAAGATTCTGGACTCTAGATCCAATGTGTTTTTTTTTTTTTTTTCAGTGTTTTTCAGGCGGCATGAGTTAGCCCTTAGATCACTCTAGTAGATCAGTAAAGTACCTTAAAGCACCAAAAGCCAATGGACCACTAGACAAGGTACGAATTTAAGCAATCTGATACATGTTTCTTAACCAGAATTTCACGTAGAAAACGATTCACACAACGAAAATTACGGAAACCAACTCCTAACGAAGATATTAACGTTTTTATTTCACATTGGTAACGAGGAATTTGAACTGCCCGCTGACAAGAAACTCAAAACTCTACGTGAGTCAAATCGCCCACTACAACGGTTTCAGCAAGCTTCTCAATCGAGCAATGTTCATTTCCCATCATGTGTTGTTCAAACTATTAGCAATTTGCTATAACTGAGCCAAAGCGTCAACATTGAGGTTGCCAGATTTTTATATCGCAGAGACCGTCATGATAACGTTTAGCGCGCGATGTGAATCACGTAGACCATTGAGTTTTCATTAGCGGGTGGTTTGAATTCACGCATTAAGAATCATTAAATATCTTCGTAAGGAGTTAATTTCGGTAATTTTCATTGTGTGCATCGTGTTTTACGTAAAATTTTGGTTAAGAAACATGTATCAGAATGCTGAAATTCGTACCTTATCTAGTGGTCCATTTCTCTAACCAAAATTACATAAATTAAATGATAAACATGATGAATACATTAAAACCGCCGAAAATAAAGGATGCTGACTTCATATTCTTGATGAAAAAAAGTAAGCGACAACTTACAAAACGCTGAATTATCCGCCACAGCCGTTACTTTAGCTTTAGCAATGTGAAGATGTAAATTTAACTGAGCTGCTGTGGCTGTTAATTCAGCGTATTGTGAGTTGTCGCACACTTTTTTAAATCCACAATGTTAGGTCTGCATTCCTCTTTCTTCGGTGAAGAAACTTATCGGGTCGATATTATTGTGCAGGTAGCTGCTCCAATATAGGATAGCCATTGTCAGCCAAATCAACAAAATACTAATATTTAAAGAAGAAGAAAAAAACACAACCGAAATGAATATTTGCCAGCGGTCAGAGAGGACCGTGTCCGTAATGAAAGAATTTGCCAAGTAATGATGGTGAAAAAAGCTCGCTGCATACATGGATTGCATTTTGCAAAAAGGAACCACGAGCATCTTGCAATAAAACTACTGAAACCTTGCAAAAAGTTAAATCAACTATGGTAATTTTCGTATTCAATTTATAATTTATTGGTAGTAAAGATAAGACCTATTTAGATGATCAGTTTATATTTGCAAGGTAAAAAAAGTTGCACAATCTTAGCGACATTGGAATACGCTTGGTTCCTTTTTGCAAAATGCAATCCACATGAAGCCACTTCCCTCCAGGCTCAGGAGTATGCTATCATATCTATGCATACATATCTAAATAAGTTAAAATAATTATTTACAACTTTTTTACACGTTACCATTGAGCACACAATGCTCGTTTCCACCACAGTGCGGCAAAGTTGCTTTTCTTCTCCCGCAATAGCTCCGACAACAAGGCGAAGGCACTGAGCCCACGCTGCTGTAGCACGGTAATCGACGCTGGAATTTATGAATAATTTATTGTTATTAAAACAGCGGTGTAAAAATAAGGGCTCACCGAGTTTCAATTGCCCAAGATTTTATGTGTTCACAGCCTCCCGCTCACCCTGTGGAGCTCTCTTCTTCCCAACACCAAACTCTCCGAGGCCCTGAGCCTCTCTTTGCCTACAATTAATAATAATGGACTACAACTAATGGGCCCGATGACGTCATGATCATCAGTGTTCGATCCAAGTTCACTTTATCATAAACCTTTCTACACCTAGTACATGATATGGATTGCATTTTGCAAAAAGGAACCACTAGCATTGCAAAGATGCATGCTAAGATTGTGCAACTTCATCTTTGGAAATCGTGAAAAACTATGAAATTTAGATGGAAATTGTTGTCTTAAATTTACAGTTTTTAGCGAGTAAAATAGAAACTATTAATGGATAATCTGGTTTTTCCTCCGAGACAAAAGAAGTTGCACAATCTTAGCAACATTGCAATGCTAGTGGTTCCTTTTTGCAAAATGCAATCCAATTTTTGTACTTTTTCTCGGTAACTTCGCGAGTTTAACTTCCGAACCTGCGTTAACTTCCGAAAACCATATATAATCCAACGAAAATAAATAATTGGTACATAACAGCTTTCTTGTATGCAAAGAAAATAATTAAAAATGTTAAAAAAGAGATGTCAACACAAAATTACATAGCCCCTTCAATTCAGAAGATACTACAAACGAACTGTACCTTAACATTTTCATATCCCAGAAGCTAACGTTCCCATGACGAATATTGCTATCGCTAGCGATTGCAAAATCCAACTTGTCTTATTTCATCTTGTTTTTATTTTATTTATTTTTATTTTTACTACTTATTTTTTAATATATTCAAAGAGGAAGAGACCGTAGTTTGAATCCGCAGTGTTAAAGTACCTGACATGAAAATGTTTTTAAGAGGAGGAGAGCTCACCCTTTATCATAAACGTAACACAGGTTAGGTAGCTATTTAGAGAAGGTGAATATTTACAAATTTTGAATGCAACTGAAAATGATTACAAAACTAATACGGTGTTCTTTCTTTGATAACTGACTGCATTATACAAATTACACTATTTGCAGCTATCAATGAATTTTGGAAATTTTAAATTTGGTAGATACGAACTGCGCAAATTGTGGGTTTTGGGGTGTATTCCAGACGCGATGAATGTTTTAAATCCTGTTTTTTATACACCTTGAAACAACTCTACTCAATTTGCGATACCTGTTGTATGCAACAGACCTGTTCATTTCCATTCATTCCGAGTTCCAATGTTACTATCATACATTTTTAATCAAATAAAAGTAGAGTTGAGGTAAAGCACACATCATTTCATGCTCATCATTGAGAGTCAGCGCATTATTGTCATGAAGAAATGAATGTCCCCTCGACATGACAGTGTTTATGTGCATACCGTTGAATCCAATGTGACCTACCATCAGCTTGTTTTTATCAATTTTTCCAAACGAAAGAATCTATCTCTTATGACGGATTCGGGTGCTAAGATAAAGACAACGGAAGAGTTGCTGGTTCTGAAAACGGCACGAAAGTTTAAGCGTATGTTAGAGTTGTTTTTTCCTCCCAAGAATTCTCGAAATATTTGGCCTTTGGTGCCTTTCATCATCCTACACCACTTCATACAAATGCTATTTATGATTACGCCTTTACTCGAAACAAAAAATACACAATATCTGACGGTGACTGCCACCCTTGCGCGTAAAATTCATTCTATCATATCGCCTCTTCTTTACCTGGGCCTTGCATTTTGGTGGCAAAAGAGAGATGTTTTGATTGATTGTACCCAGAAACTCAACAACATTTTGCTTGACAACCAGGTAGGATATATTTTTCACTACTTCTGCTCGTATTACTTCAGATTTTTTAAATAAATTAAAACTCTCCACTTTATAAAGAAAATGAAGAACTAATTTTTTTTTAAAAAAAAAAACAACGAAAAAATACCCAAAAAATGTATTATAATTAACATTCGAGACCAGGATAAATAAAATTACAGTTTGCATGTTTTTTTCTTTTCTTTTCCCACCACGAACCTGCTTGAGATTACTAGAACTAAGTACATTTCGCATTTAAGAATTGTCATTTGGACTGAGTTAAGCAGAAAGGAACCAACCCACATTTTGGAAAAAATTGAGTTATGAGTGGTTTTGAACTCAACCACTGCTCTACTATCCATCGCCAAAAATTCAAAGTTTTTGTTGGAGCAAATTTTGCAGAAATTGAACTTGAAGTTTATCTTTTACATTGAATCTTATGCAGGAGCCGAACTTTAAATCTCTTTTTCTCGGTTCGATCCCGATGTGGCTTGGTTCCTTTCTGTTTAACTCCATCCATTTCTGGCTAGTTTGGTAGACAAAATATGGGCGATTGGTCACTCAACGCAGAAAAGTATATAGATGAGCGAGTGGACAGTACTTCCTTATTGCAACATAAATATAATTCAACCCATTCCTTTCTCAGTTCCCTCTTCCAACTTCTCTGCGCACGTCAATTATCGCGGATCTGGAATACCGTCACCGGCTTATGGTCCTCTCCGTGACGCCGGCCACCCAAATTATGGTTTTGTTTTACTTTTTGCCTCCCATCGTCACATTTTTCCTCAATCCATCGCCATCACGCCAGCTCAACCTTCCTCTGGGTCTGGGTATACCAAACCCCCTCTCTCTCCTCGGAATCACCCCTAATGACGTCACACGGGCACTTGTTTACCTTTGTATTAGCGTCTCCATTGCGACCCAGTTCTATGTCGCACACATCGGCACATTGCTCGTATTCATAACTGTGGACGCCTTGAAGACTGCGTTTTTTTTAAGTGGGATTAGTTTTGAAACCATTGGCCATGACGACTTTTCACAAAGGGAGCAATTCGTGAGCGCCGTCACACATCATCAACGTCTGTTCAGGTGAGGTTTTTTTGAAACGCCAAAAGAAAAAAAAAAATTATTTCATTCACTTTTCTATTTCTTCGTTCAAGCGCTGGATGCAGAGAGGGCACTCCAATCTGTATCCAACGCCGCAATCTTTGACAGCATCTTCTGAAACTTTCATTACTTAATTTAACTTTTAAGATGTCGTAAATTGGTTCAGCCATTTTCTAACTACTTTGCGTTGATATCTTCCGTCTATCATAATTTTGAGGGTTGCGCAAATTATTGTGACTTATCTTTTTTCGCTTTCAAGCTCATGAATTTACTCTTTAAATTTGTATTCTATTTAAATGATGGATTGCATAAAAACACCTTTCTTGGAGTTCATTGTTTATCGTCGTCTCTTTAACGCATGTGTTTTTCGCTTGTGCTAATTTTTCAGGTTGACCTCAAAAGTGAAGGAAGTTGTTGAGCCCATACTGGAAATAACTTTGACTGGAGCCATGACATTTGGTGTAATTGGTGGATTAGCAATTATTCAGGTAAGAGAGTGTGTCTTAAAGCGCACATGTATTGCTCTTCAATGGAGCCGTATCTGCAAGACTTGCCATACTCGAAAAATTTTCGAATTATTTACGTTTTAGAAATTATAAAACGTTTTTGCAGAGTCGCCGATGAAAAAAGACTCAAAGTCCTCAAATATAAGTAGCACCCCTAAAGTGATAGGTAGTAAAACTATTTCACTGAGTTGATACATCAAACTAAAGTTAGTCTAACTCATAATCCTGTTTTAATTTTTCTGAACTGCAGGACTTTCGAGATAACTTCAAAATGATAGCCGCTATCGTAACAAGTCTTGGATTTATTTACGCTTATTTCATTTTAATGGGCTCTACCTCTCACATGGTAAGATAATTTTTCCCATTTTTTTACCCTTAACCATCATTTATTTACGTGCAAGTCTCTTTTACAGCCCGCCCGGGCGCTCTGCGACGCGTAACGTCATTCTTGTCTATCGACTCACTAAATCTGTCCATGACCATATCTTAAGCTTTCAGTCTTCTAGTTCATTTATATAAATGAACGAATTCTGACGCTGATAAATAGTGTATTTTTCCTTCGGAAATTACACTATTTATTGTTTTTTTTTATCGTGCCTCCTTATTCGTTCTGAGATCTTTGTAAGTGAATATGACAGCTACATGAAGATGTCTCCTCACCAGCGTCCTAAGCACCTCGTATGAATATTGTTTTTCAAATAATTTAATTTTTAATAAAAAAAATCTGAAAGTCACACAATGTCACAATACTTAACTGTACTGATTCTTTTAATATTCACGGTACATCAATAAAATGACCATCATATTCCATCAGGTAAATTATATACAACAATTTACATTGACCCCCGGACGTATCTGCTTTTGATAAATAAGCCGATGTTTTTTCGTCAATCTTTTTCTTTTCGATTTTAATGAAACAGGCTGAAGATGTGGCGATGCGAATTTACTTCAATGAACATTGTGTTGGACGAAAACTCGAATTTGCGCAGCATTTTCCATTCATGATAATGAGGTCATACAAACCGGTAAAATTCCGAATTTACAACTGTTGGGCGATTACGTTTGATAATTCTATCAAGGTAAATAGCGACCTTGTTTATTTACTTTATGTGTTCAATTCAATGAACAGTTGATACTTTAATAATCTGAAATTAAATTTTTTCCAAAAATGCAATTCAACTTCCTTTGAAAAACATCAATGATACTTCTGATCCTTCCTTCACACTGATATAAGTTCAATATTATTAGAATTATATACGACTCTTTACTATTTGATATCATTAAACTCGTCATCTGTTTTGTTCCAGTACACGCAGCTGATGTACAGTTTTTATATCGCTTTGAATTCTGCAACTTTAAAATACAACAAGAACATCAATCTTCATTCTGTAACAAATCATCATGGTTAGTCTCCAACATGATGTAATTGAAGAGAAAATCAACAGCCAATTTTGAATCAAATTTTACATGCTATTTGAAAGCCATCAACGTGCCAATCTTAAACTTTTACGCAACTTTATCTCAATCTAATGTAACTACTTCTTATTTCCACTGACAAATTGACCCAGGTTCGAGTTCTTCCTTTTAAGATCTAAGTAAATTCCTATGTAGATAAAACATTTTCAGAAGATGGTGGTTAAGGTGATTCGATGGACGCCATATTTTGTGGCAGAACGGCATGCGATATATCGCATCAATTGGTTCAATTTTTTCAGCCAATCGTCATTTGTCTCCAATTTTGGGATCGCAATTCTGTTGTAAGGAGACTGAAGCACTCACTTACCAATTTTAATAAAGAAATTCAACGTAATAAAGGCGTGGTTTTTTAGAGAGAAAACATCGCATTCGATACTGATATCGAAACTGCACTCGAATGCGATATTTTCTCTCTAAAAAAAACCACGCCTTTATTACGTTGAATTTCTTTGTTAAAATTGGTAAGTGAGTGCTTTAGTCTTTTGAAAACAGAATTGCGATCTCAAAATTGGGGAAAAATGACGAGTAGCTGAAAAAATGGGGCCAATTGAAGCGATATATCGCATGCCGTTCTGACACAAAATATGACTTCCATCGAATCACCTTGAAGTAAATTTCAGTGAGGGTCTCTATTATTTATATATATATTTTTTTTTTTCAATTTTTGCTTATTGCGAAGTCAGTTGCCCAATAACCTCTGAGAAGGTAGACCTATGTGGCGTTTGGGCGTCGTAAAACGCCAGAGTGTGTTGTTGAAGCGACTATATATATATACGTATACATATATTACATTTTTCCTTCTCTTTTTACTATTCCTTGAATTCAACAGGCACTTGATGTATATGTATTAAAGTCTACTAAGTGTTTAGATTCAAAACCTGGACTGCTTAATTTTTGATGAATCAAATTCCGCACTGAAGTGAAAAATTTGGAAACCGGTTAATCGGCCTGGAGGTCATTATAAATTTCACATTTTGAGAGAAAGTCAAACAGATATTCATGATTGTTTGATTAGCAAGCGTAATTAAATGACAAACAGCGGAATTCACTTAACCCGTCTATTGGTAGCCCATCGAACGTAAAGTTCATAAATTAATTAGGAAATCAAGTTTCTCGCTTACCCATTTAACTAATAATTGCTGCGGACTCTGTATAAAGAAGGACTATTCCGCAAGCCGAGAATCTTAATTAAGAGCCAATGTGTTGATCTTTGCGCGTAGGTTTCTGACTCCCGCATGTTTGCGCTAAGCGGGTAGAGTCCAGCTCATGGCGCTCCGCAATTTGCCTTCGCCCGAATCTCAATGCTGTCCTAAGGAAGAACGGCGTATGAGCCATCAGATGCTGCCAAATTTCCGTAAAAAGTTACGAGTTTTCGGGAAAATTTACAAATATAAGTCTGAACATTTCCAGGAAAGATATTCATAACTTTTTTCAAAAAAAAAATATCTTCTGAGTGGAAATTTGACAGCACTCGAATGTTTATCCGGCGTTGTAACTTAGCTTAGCACAGCAGAGTGCTCAATCTTGAAAAATGAGAGGAGGGTCACTTTTGGATTCATGCTTTGCCAGTTCTATCTGCATGGAAACTTTTATATTCATATGCTTTTCATAATGTAATTTTTTCAGAACAAACAATTTTAAGGAAAGCGATGCCTTTCCTTTGATATCACATATCTGAATCGCAGCGTTTACAAATTTCCAAACACACTGTTTAAAGACAAAAATTGACACCACTTTTTAGATGATTTCTTTAGAAGATTTTTAGATACGATCACACTACAGCAGAAAATATTCCAAATCCAATCGCGTTGATGTATTCTTCCAAAAAAATAAAATATGCACACATGAAAATTTTGACAAATCGCCATCAAGATTGGTAGTTATAGAGCTGAGTTATCGAAAATTAAATTCGCGATGTGGCCTTCTATACCCACCCACTTGAAGAAGATAACTCCATATTCTACCCTAGGTTGCTTTGTCGCTCGTTTAAATGCTTTTCTGTGACTAAGTTAGCTGCATTGAGTACAATCAGTACTGTTCTACCTCAACAAGTAACACGATTTAAAAGACACGTGAGAGATGTAGCTGAAAGCCGCACTGGTTTAACATACGTGAAAAAATTGGATATATGGCTAGGACGTTTATAGGCATCGTCTAGATTTTGGGTAAGAGGCAGACTTACCCTAGCAAAAATTTTAACGCTAATCCGGATCGGGTCGCTTTCTTCCTTGAGTCTAGTGACCCCATTCCGTCGCTACTCTAACGTGAGGACATATCCCAAATTTCGCGTGAACCCTGACTCACACATGAATCCTTGTTTTTTGGAGCTCATGCAGATATCAAGATACGCCTTTACGTGAGAAGAGCGTCGTTATGACCTGCCTTTCTAGGCGTGAGCTGTAAACCTTTGGACAGCTGGGCCAGATAATATTGGGTTGTTGAGAGGTAAGTAAAATGTGCGATACTATTTAAAGTTAAAATAAATTGAATTGATCAAATTGACCGCGTTTAGCAGAAAATAACCAAGCCAAATCAGATATTGATAAATTTAAAGGCGCATTTGAATCTTTGAAATGAAAATGGTTATGCGGATTTTTTTATTAAATCTCAATGAATTTTCTGCATAGTTCAAAGTAGAGTCCTTAAAATTTTCAAAGGATTCCGCACAAACGTTCCCTTATGAAAAATTAAATTGCCCAGTTAAATTTGGCAAAAGCTGATGTGGCTTGGTTCCGTCCTGCTAAACGCAGTCCAAATGATTCTCTCAATCTTGGAATTATAAAAGCACAGTAAAAGTCCGATCAAAATTTCTAATTTTTATTTTGTACGTCTATCAAAGTTTTTAAGAGGAATCAAACTAGAGGAATTTGGCAGTTCGAAAAGAGCGTATCGCAGAAAAAATACTTCGATTTGTATGGAAACTAATGTTTTCAGTTCAGGTAACTAAGGTTTTCTGTCATTGGATCAAAAATTTAGCTCACGTAACCGAAGTTTCTTTTAGCCATATACGCTTGTATCTTTAAGAAAGACTTCAGCTTTCTGAACGCGGGTTCCGTTCCTAAGACTGAAAATTTTTGTTTCCCAAACCAAAAATGTTAGTATCTCAAATAAGCTGAAGTTCAATTGAGGACACTGCACAAAGAACAGCCTATAGGCGTATAGGTCGTTATTACGCCCATCCGGCCCATCTGCTTTTCGGATTCTACTTACCCTGGACTATGCTGTGGTAGCGATAGAATATTGACAGGTAACGGCTCGAGGTCGAAAAACCTTTTTTTTCCGAGTTAAGTCAGACCTCTGGATCGATGGGTGCAAGAACGACCTATAAACGGGCCTGTAAGGTGCTAGTTACCCCTTCCTTTACTCACTATCGATATTCTTTCATTTTGCGTTAATCATGCGTGATTAAAATGATTTATACTTCATATTGCCACCAAAATGACTGTTGGACGTTATAATGGCCTATAAGCAGCTTTTTTAAATTAAATATATGAGAGTATAAACCCAAAATGTATCGCAAAATCTACCCGGCATCCTTCAATAGAAGAGTTAGGTCAACCAAAAACACCAAAACAGGGTACCTGCATAGAAACGTCTGCGCAGTACATCAAAAACAAAACTTTAAATGCGTTTTTCTCAAAACGCGCTGTTCTTAGTGCGGTGTCCTCAATTGAAATAGCCTCCATACACGCTGGGCTTGTCGATTTCCTTTGACATTTTTGCAGTGGTGAATGCATAGCTGAAGTGCGCTCCAGCTAGAATTATATTTAGCAAATGGGTGGTTTTTATACGAGGATTAAAAATAAACAAGTGGTACGGAACAAAACAAAAGAATATGAACTATATAATGGACCGTAGGTTGATTTAAATTTCTGACCGAACTGTTTTCTAACGCTTCAGCCAAATAAAACACAAATTTATTGAGTTGCATTAGCTCGTAAAATCAGTCATTCAATCAATTTTGTGCTCCAATTTCTTGCGGAACTACAAACCTGATATCAAAACTTGGCTGTTTTGAAAACGCCTTCAAATACGGCGTTATACCTCACGCATTCCGGAGAGTTCAAATAGTTGTATCATTGCGCCTTAGAAATGCGACGGCAGATTACAATTGAAATAGCCTTCCTACATGCTAGTCTTGTCGATTTCCTTTGACATTTTAGTAGTCGTGAATGCATAGCTAAAATGCGCTCCAGCCAGAAGTGTATTCAGCAAATGAGTAGTTTTTATAGGAGGATTGAAAACAAACAAATGGTAGGAAATAAAACATAATAATAAGAACTTTGCAAAACGATAATCCGGGTATCGGAACTTGGCTGTTTTGAAAACTCCTTCAAATGCGGCGTGATACCTCACGCATTCCGGAGAGTTCAAATAGTTGTATCATTGCGCCGTAAGAATGTGACGGAAGATTACAATAATTATTTAAATCAAAGGGTTTTTTTCTTTAATTAGGTTTAATAGTGTCTTTAAACTGTTAGAGGAAGTTCAAGTCGATCGTTCGTTACGATACCCTTCATATCAGAAGTATCTATCCAGGGTCCTTACTTTCGATGCTTAAATTGGTGCCGTGGTGTCTTTGTGAGCCTTGGGGGTTACGGATCTGATAATGACAACTACCGCATAAAGATTTTGTCGATACTGCAAAAAAGTACCCTGTATATTATTGTATAAAAGTATATTAATTGAGTCCAACTTACTCCGATCAGTTTCAATGTATTCCGAACTTTTATTAATACAAGAAATGGGATGCATTCTGAATGCCAGGGGTACGAATAGATACTTATTGCAGATCTAGCGTTGTCCACTTTGCGTACACCCTCGGAATCAATAATGAAAATTAAATTTATAAAAATGATAATATTTGATTTTATATCAAATTTATGATAAAAAAAACGAGTTAGTATACTATCTTCATCATTCAAATTGTTATTACATTTGAAAAAAGTTAGATCGATTGTACATAGAGGACCGGTCATTTTACCGCTAGCAGCTTTTCAAATCGGCTGAAGCGCAGTGAAACAGAGGCATTTGTGAGAGGTCTTCAAATCATAGCCTCATGATCAATGCAGGAGGAGGATGTGACACTTTTTCGAAGGGTTCAGTCATAAAAGTGGGTAATCACAGGTTCCAATGTTACTATCATACATTTTTGATCAAATAAAAGTAGAGTTCAGGATAAGCACACATTATTTCATGTTCAACATGCAGAGTTAGTTTGTGCGCATTGTCATGAAGAAATGAATGTCCTCTCGACACGTCAGTGTTCATGTGCATACCGTTGAATCCAATGTGACATACCATAACATTTTTTTTATCAATTTTTTCGAACGAAAGAAACTATCTTCTATGACGGATTCGGACGCAAAAATAAAGACAACGGAAGAGTTGCTGGTCCTGAAAACGGCACGAAAGTTTAAACGTCTGCTAGAGTTGTTTTTTCCTCCCAAGAATTCTCGAAATATTTGGCCTTTGGTGCCTTTCATCATCCTACACCACTTTATACAGACACTTTTTATGATTATGCCTTTACTTGAAACAAAAAATACACAATATCTAACGGTAACTGCCACCCTTGCGCGTAAAATTCATTCTATCATATCGCCTCTTCTTTACATAAACCTTGCAGTTTGGTGGCAAAAGAGAGATGTTTTGGTTGAATTCACCCAGAACCTAAACAACATTTTGCTTAACGACCAGGTGGGATTTTTTACCATTAGTTCTATTCGCCTTTATTCAGATTTTTTAAATTAATTTAGCCTCTCTACAATATATAAAACGTGAAGAATTGAAGAAAAAAAAAGATGACAAATAAAGACAAAAATAATGTAATCTCATTAATATTCGAGACTAGGATTCATGCTAAAAACTTACAATTTTCATGATAAAGTTACGGTTAACAAGATTTTTATTTATTTATTTTTTTTTCCTTTACGAACTTGCTTGAGATTAATTGAACTACATTTTTCATTAAAGCACTGTCATTTTTGGCTAATTTGAGAAACAAAATATGGGCGATTGGTCACTCAACGCAGAAAAGTATGTGGATGAGTGAGTAGACAGTAGTTCTTCATTGCAACATAAATGTAATTCAACCCATTCCTTTCTCAGTTCCCCCTTCCAGCTTCCCTTCGCACGTCAATCATCACAGATCTGGAATCACGTCACCGGCTTATGGTCCTCTCCGTGACGCCGGTTACCCAAATTACGGTCTTGTGTTACTTTTTGCCTCCCATCGTCACATTTTTCCTCAATCCATCGCCATCTCGCCAGCTCAACCTTCCTCTGGGTATACCAAACCCTCTCTCTTTCCTCGGATTCACCCCTAATGACGTCACACGGGCACTTGTTTACCTCTGTATTAGCGTCTCCATTGCGACCCAGTTGTATGTCATACACATCGGCACTTTGCTCATATTCATAACTGTGGATGCCTTGAAGACTGCGTTTTTTATAAGTGGGATTAGTTTTGAAACCATTGGCCATGACGACTTTTCACAAAGGGAGCAATTCGTGAGCGCTGTCACACATCATCAACGTCTGTTCAGGTGAGGTTTTTTGAAACGCCAAGAGCGAAAAAAAAAATCTTTCATTCACTTTCCTATTTCTTCGTTCAAGCGCTGGATGCAGAGAGGGCATCCCTTGATTGCAGTGTCTCAAAATCTCCACTAACGTTTCATCCTTTATGATTTAAGCAAACATATGCAATTTGTTGTAACTATCACTGTAATCGATAATTATTTTATAGTGTTGAAAACGTAAAATTTGAAAATTCACCCAATAGATTTTTCTCTAAAATAAAAATTCGCACCAGAGATTCTGAAATATTGCGACCACGAAATTCACTTTCTGTATCTAACGCCTCAATTTGTGACAGCACCTTTTGAAACTTTCATAGTTTAATTGAATCCATGCGGCCGAGAAGTATAAAGCCTTGTCTTGGTATTAGCTCTTTAAATTTCATGCAGGGACCAAGTTATCTTACATACGATATCACTTTTAAGATGTCGTGAATTGGTTCACACGTAAGGCAAATTATTAAGTTCATGAATTTGAACTTTAAATTTGTATTCCATTCAAATGGTGGATTGCGTAAAAACTCGGCTCCACTGGAGCTCTTTGTTTCTCGTCGCCTCTTTAACGTATGTGTTTTTCGCTTGTGCTAATTTTTCAGGTTGACCTCAAAACTGAAGGAAGTTATTGAGCCCATACTGGAAGTAGCTTTGACTGGGGCCATGACCTACATTGTAATTGGTGAATTGGCAATAATTCAGGTAAGAGAGTGTGTCTTAAAGCGCACATTTATTGCCCTTAAATGGGGCTGTATTTGCAAGACTTGCCAGACTCGAAAATATAAACAGTTTTTGCACGGTCGACGGTCGTCTACGGAAAAAGACGCAAAGTCCTCAAATAATAAGTAGCACTCCTAAAGTAAAATGTAGTAAAACTATTTCACCGAGTTGATGCATCAAACTTAAGTTTGTCCCACTCATAATCCTATTTTGATTTTTCTGAACCGCAGGAATTTCGTGATAACTTCAAAATGATAGCCGCAATCGTAATAACTCTTGGAATTATTTACGCTGATTTCATTTTAATGGGCTCTACCTCTCACATGGTAAGATAATTTTTCCCATTTTTTTACCCATAATCATCATTTATTTACATTCAAGTCTCTTTAACAGCGCGCCCGGGCGCTCTGCGACACGTAACGTCATTCTTGTCTATCGACCCAGAGGTAAATAGCATCTTGTAATTACGTCTTAAATGCCTCCTATCCTCGAGTTTGCTGGACCATCGTTTATTTTACTTACTAAATCTGTCCATGACCATATCTTGAGCTTTCAGTCTCCTAGTTCATTTAGATAAATGAACGAATTCTAAAACTAAGAATTTTTTTTTTTTTTGTTTGTTTGTTTTTGTATTGTGCCTCCTCATTCCACGTGAGGTCCTTTGAATGAATCTGGCAGATAATTGAAGATCTCTCCTCACCAACGTCCTTAGTACCTCGCGTAAATATTGTTCATTTAAAAAACTTAATTTATAACCAAAAAACATCTGGAAATTGCTCAACATTTAGTGCCACACAATGGCACATTGCTTAAAATGGACGTATTTCTACCAAACAGACCTATGTGGAGGTGAGAAATATGGGGTGTGCTCTAGAAAGCTGCATAAGAAGCAATGTAAAAGTGGGCGTGATTCCTTTTGAAGAATTGGAAAAGCGGGATATTACATTCTATCAAACAGACCTATGTGCCAACTGAATGCGGGACTCATGAGCCGCGGGCATGGCAAGAGAGCGTTGTGAACAGGGCTCACGAGTTAAAGCCCCCCGACGACGTTCGCCTTCGTTCCGCTCCCGCTCCTTCATTGCCGCTGACGTCACTGGCGCTTTATTATTCTCATTCACTCTTACGGCCAGAGAACTAACGAGCACACCCCATATTTCTCACCTCCACATAGGTCTGTTTGATAGAGATACGTCCCAATAACGGTATTGATTCTTGTAATATTCATGGTACATCAATAAATGACCTTCATATTCCATCAGGTAATAATTTACAAAAATGAACCGGCTGCAAACTTTTCCTACAGCAAAACGAAAGTTACTTATAGAAAGCGTCTCAAAAATCAAGATGAGTGCATCGGCAAAGTCTAAAATGCACTCCTTACTTCACAATTTGCATAAGAAATTTGCGTTTTTTCGAGCTTCCCGCTTCAAAAACGATACCACGACACAGGTGAACATTTCGTCAGAGGAAACATTCCATCGAACCCCTGCTCACAGGGATATCACGCAATATTCAACATATCCGACGCCGCAATCCGCGTAAACACATATGTAACGGGATGATGATTCAACCACGTGATAACAATGGGCGTGTTCATGCTCACCTTTTTCTCGCGTTGATAGAAATCCGCCTTGATTGACCTCGCGCTCTCTTTAACTTGCGCGCAAAAGTGTCGACCATGCTGAGCAGGGATTGAATGGAACTACTCTTCTAACGAAATGTTCACCTGTGCAGCTGTAGTATCCTTTTTGTAGCGGGAAGCTAAAAAAAAGAAAATTTTTCACGCAGATTGTGAAGTTAGGAGTGTATCAGGGCCGGATTTACCTACTTGCCACCGATGGGCCGCCTGTATTTTGCCGCCCCCTTCTCATTCGTTTTGAAACATCAATTAAATCCATCAAGCGAACGTGCTGGAGGGGGAGGGGTGTATAAGACGTGTTTACATACTCGTGTTGGATACATTTTTTGCGAAAGCCCTGCACACCACTAGCAAAATTTCACGGAACTTTGCGCGAAAGCTAATTCCGTAAACCTATCTCTATGTGGACAAGGTCCTCCATTTATGAGAAATAAACCAAAAAATTATGAAAGAACAAACATAAATGTAGTTTCATAATTTTAACTTACGCCGCTGCGCCGCGCTGATCGCACTGTGATTGGCGCAATGCGTGAAGTATTCGTGCAGTCTTGTAGGCGCTATACGTTTCACGCCAACCGCTCCTGACCGCACTGTGTTTGGCGCAATGGGTGAAGTATTCATGCAGTCTTGTAGGCGCTAATATGTGTTACCTACATGCCGATCGCCGCGCGGAGCGCTTGTCTTTTTTATCTCAAGTCCTCGTTTTCATCCCTCTCTGCGTTGAGCTCCAGGCCAAATTGCGTATTTAGTTCCTCTCTTCACTCTATACTAATTAAAGATGCTACTTCTTGTAACACTGAAAAACGACAAATTAGAAATTACACTATACTCTCAGGAAAGAGAGATTTCGTCCCCTTTTCTCATTGATAATTTTATTTCTGAATCTGATTTTTTTATACCTACATTTAAAAAAATTGCAAAATTTGCCGCCATGGGCCGCGGCCCATGTGGCCACCCTCTTAATCCGGCCTTGAAATGCATTTCAGAGTTTGCCGATGCGCTCATCGTGATTTTTGAGACATAATCTATAAGGAACAACTCCTTTTTTTTTTGCTGTAGCAAAAGTTTGCAATAGGCCGATTTGCATTGGTCTCTAGACGTACCTGTTTTGGATAAATAAGCCGATGTTCATCTTTGTCGATTTTAATGATGCAGGCTGAAGATGTGGCGATGCGAATTTACTTCAATGAACATTGTGTTGGACGAAAACTTGAGTTTGCGCAGCATTTTCCATTTATGATAATGAGGTCAAACAAACCGGTTAAATTCCGAATTTACAACTGCTGGGCGATTACGTTTGAGAATTCTGTCAAGGTAAATAGAGATTTTGTTCATTTACTTCATTTGTTTATTTCAATGTACAGTTGATACTTGTATCGAATAAAAGAACAAATTTAAGATTAAAAATAGCGTAAAATTCACCAGCCTTCCTTTGAGTGGATAAGAATGTATTTTACATTTATTCAACTATAAGTGTGTCAAGAATGCAAGTCGATTCCAAGCTTTAATTGGATGGAACAAAAATCATCCTACCTACATTTTACATGGAGAGCCAAATTTCCTAAAATATTTTGCCCGACCGTACATGAAGCTATTTGCTCACAATTTTTTTGATTCTTTACATGCGGAGGAAATTTTTAGGGGTTTCAATGCTAAAAGCTAAGTTTCTTGCCAAAATATAAAACATAAAAGGAATTTTTTTTAAAAATGAGGTTGATTTAGACTAATCTTTAGTAATTTGATATGAAATTTTTGAAAAAATTCAATTCAACTTCCTTAGAAAAACACCAATAATACTCCTGGTCCTTCCTTCACACTTACATAAGTTCAAAATTATTAGAATTATATACGACTCTTTACTATTAGATATCATTAAACTCTTCATCTGTTTTGTTTCAGTACACGCAGCTAATGTACAGTTTTTATATTGTTTTGAATTCTGCAACTTCAAAATACAGCAAGAACATCAATCTTCATTCTGTAACAAGTCATCATGGTTAGTCTCCAACATGATGTAATTGGAGAGAAAATCAAGAGCCAATATATTGAATCAAACTTTACATGCTATTTAAAAGCCATCGACGTGCCAATCTTAAACTTTTACGCAACTTTATCTTAACCTAATGTAACTAATTATTATTGCTTGGACAAATTGACCCAGGTTTGAGTTCTTCCTTGAACGGTTCAAGTAAATGCCTATGTAGGTAACACATTTTCAGAAGACGGTGAATAGTGTAAATTTTAATGAGGGTCTCTATTATTCATTTATACATTTTTCTTTTTTTTTCAATTTTTGTTTGTTGTTAAGTCACTTGCCCGATAACCTCTGGGAGGGTAGACTTATGTGGCGTTTGGGTGTCGTAAAACGCCAGAGTGTGTTGTAGGAGCGACTATATGTATATATGCATACCTATATTAAACTTTTTCTTCTCTTTTTACTATTTCTTGAATTTTACAGGTAGTTAAAAAAACACCTTATACACCTACCATATGATGAGCTTTGTTTTCGGATGCAGACCTATCTAATTATGGGAAATTTATCATCGTCATTTTACCCTTTCTCAGCGTTTTTAGATTTTGTAGTTGTTTCGCCGCTATAACGAGGGGTAAAAAAAATTTTTGGAGGTGTCCAATCTAACTCTCCCACTCAATTTTTCCTGCTGAAGCCGAATATGACCTCAGATTTTTTCTAGAAATTATTCCGGGAAATGAATTTTCCCAAAAAAAAATGTTTTTCAATGTAAAACCCTATATAAAAAAGATGGCTCTGTCGGCACAGGTTGATATTATCCGATTTGACTGAAACTTGACAGAGAGTGTTTTTTAATCATATGGATCAGTTTAAGGGGGTAAAACCAAAAAAATTCGCAGGATAAATTTTTCCGTGTATAATTGGGTCACCATAATGTCCAAATTTTGGCGTGAGCCCTGATTCACAGATGAATCCATTTTTTGGGGGGCTCATGCAGAGGTCAAGAAACGCCTTTACGTGACAAAAGCGTCGTGATGGCCATAGGCGTGAGCTCTAAACCTTTTGACAGCTGGCCAAATACTATTGGGTTGTTGAGAGATGAGTAAAATGTGCGATTGTATTTAAGGTTAAAATAAATTATGAAAATTTACAGTTGATCAAATGGACCACGTTTAGCAGAAAGGAACCAAGCAACATCAGATATTGCCAAATTTAATGGCGCAATGAATTTTTTTAAATAAAAATGGTTGTGCGGATTTTTTTATGAAATTTCAGTGAATTTTCTGCATAGTAGGAAGCAAATTCCTTGAGATTTTCAAAGGAATATGCACAAACGCTCCTTTGTAAAAAAAAAAATTAAATTGCCCAGTTAAATTTTGCAATAGCTGATGTGGCTTGGTCCCGTTCTGCTAAACGCGGTTCAAATAATTCACTCAATCGTGGCATTATGAAGGCAAAACAAAACTCTAATTGAAATTTCTAATCTTTATTTTGTATTTATATTCAAGTTTTTAAGATAAATAAAACTAGAGGAATTTGGAAGTATGAAAGGAGCGTATCGCATTCACGGAGAAAAAAAACTCCGGCTCATAGGGAAAACTAATGTTTTCAGTTCAGGTAACTAAAGTTTTCAGTCATTGGATCAAAACTTAGCTCAGGTAACCCTATATCGTTACGAAAAAATTCAATTTCCTGAACGACGGTTCAGTTCCGAGGACTAG